CGGGCGTGTCCCTCTGCGGGGGGAGTATTCCAAGATAATCAAATAATAGTCAGGGGACGATTTTTGGAATATTTTCCGAGTACGTTGGTGCATATTCTTGGGGTACTCTTGAGTTTTCGCCCAAATCTCCCTGCAGGAGGACAGGCCCGACCTGACTCCAGGCAGGCCCTCGCCCGCGCGCTGAAGCGGACGGGTGCCGCAGCCTCGAACTTATCCTTAATCCTAAAGTTGACACGCCAAACAGCGGTGACAATCTTAGGGATCATCCCTAAGGTTGTCGCCGCCTTTTGGGCGCCCCTTCGCAACAAGCCGCCAGCTGCGGGTCGTCTCTTGGGCGCCACATCGCGCGCTATTGCGCCCGCCCTATGACCACGACAACCTTCCGTGAGTTCCTACATAAGGGATGCGCCCTCAGAAACGAAGGTAATCCTCAAGATCGGCATCGTGATGAGGCGATGCCCAGCACAGGGATATGGATGTGTTCCAGGCTGGTAACGGGTGCAGCAGGCACCTTCGGTGGCAAGGCATGGGGAGCCTTGCGTACCGTTGCAATTTTAGTTTTTTGCGTCGGTCAGCGTCGATGAGCGTCTGGGAGGCGACGCGACAGCGCCGACTTGGCGTCGGTTTTTGCGTCGATTTTTAGCGTCGATTAGCGTCGACTGGCGTCGATTAGCGTCGACTGCCAAGAGCCGACAAGACGGTACGGGAGGCTTCTATGAGCTGCCGCCGAAGGCACAGCAAAGAAGAGATCGGCGTGCTGGCAGGTGCCCCACGGAAGCCTCTCGTCCCCCGAGGAGCTCTGGGGCGCCTCGGGACCCTCCATCGGATCGGGCGAGGATGCGCCCCGAGATCTCTTGTAGCAGGGCTTCGCATCGTATTTCCTTGATGTAGACAGTCGGGTATGGCCAGGACCCCGGGTAAGGGGACCAGGTTAGTGGTAGGGCCCCAGAGCCTTCGAATTGGCCAGAATCACTAAACCAGGTTTGCCATAGCTGGTGTTTTTTCGGGTGACAGCAGTTCCGGTTAGTGGAAATGGGACGGGGGGGCGCCCCCGGTACAGATCACTAAAGCAGGTTCCACCAATCCCAGTTCTGCCAACGCCCGAGACAGATGCTGATGCTGTTGCACACTTCTCTGTTATCGCCTAGGCACTTGGTGCTCTTTTCGGCCATCTTGAGACTGCGAAGGCCTGACGGCCAGTGCCGCCCGCCGACCCTGAAGAGGACCACGATGTCGGCGACGAAGTGGGCGGAGACGGAGGCCGTGGAAGATGAGGAGGAGGAGGCGAGGAGGAGGGGGAGGAGGAGGAGAGGGAGAAGGAGGAGGGATGATGATGATGATGATGATGATGATGATTCTGATGCTGCTGCTGCTGATGATGATGATGATGATGATGATGATGATGATGATGATGATGGATGGAGGAGGAGGAGGAGGAGGAGGAGGAGGAGGAGGAGGGAGGAGGAGGAGGAGGAGGACGAGCGTGGAGATGGAGGTTGGAGCAGGTGGGGGAGGAGGAGGGGGAGGAGGGAGGGGGGGAGGAGGAGGAGGAGGAGGAGGAAGGAAGGAGGAGGAGGAGGAGGAGGAGGAGGAGAGGAGGTGGAGGAGGAGGAGAGGAGGAGGAGGAGGAGGAGGAGGAGGAGGAGAAGGAGGAGGGGAGGAAGAGTGGGAAAGGGGGTGGCGGAAGAAGGAGGAGTTGGAGGAAGAGGAGGAGGAGGAGGACGACGACGACGAGGAGGAGGAGGAGGAGGAACTTGGTGCTCTTTTAGGCCATCTTGAGATTTTCCGTGTGACCTGTGCCTGGCCAGGAGTCGCCAGAGCGAGGGGGTGATTTGCTTGCGGGCTTCGGTGCCCCGTTCTCAGTCCTCATCGGGTGAAGTGCGCACCACCCAATTGTAGGATCACGCTGTGGCGTGACGGCGAGGCGCTCGTGCGTGTTCGGAGTGAGTGGTTCATGAACTGGTCCTCAACGCTGCCCCATGGAAGACGTAGTTCATTGGCGTATGTGTCTACCATATGAGTGGAGCAAGACGCGGGGGCACCATGGGGACCGAGGGAAGGAGCAGGCCGGCAGGGCATCCGGGCGACCGAGCGGCAGTGCGGCAGGCCGGCCAGCTCGGGGCCGCTCTGGCCCGCCTGCTTGCCTCGCGCGGGCCAGGCGCGTCCCGCGCGGCGGGCGCGTGTGCCTCACACGACGGGCGGATGCAGCAGGCTCAGTCAGAACGTTCGTGTGCAGAGGACTGGTGCCACAGTGTGCATATCCAGGCCTCCTGCATGGGGTCGGAGCAGATGGGGTCGGAGGATCGCGCCGCCGCATGGCCGATGCATCGCCGATGCGGCTCGATGTGCAGCCCGATTTGCTTCACGTCGACGTCGCCGATGCATCGCCGGCGCATCGCCGATGCATCGCCGATGCATCGCCGATATATCGGCGATGCGGCGCGACCCTCCGACGCCATCCACTCCGACCCCATCTGGGAGGCCTCGAAAATAAGACGTTCGGCTGCCGCCGAAAGTCTGGGGAGCTCTTCGTCCCCAGGTCGAGTTCAAGGGACCTGCTGCTGGGTCTTCATCGGGGAAAGATGAACGGGTGCGCTTTGGGTCGAAAGCCGGCAAAACATTAACAACGAAAGAGCGCATTTTGTGGTCGCTTCGAGGCGGGGGGGTGTTTGGAACCAGACCCCCCCCCCTGTATGGAGGGGGGAGGGTTCGACCCCCCCCCCCAGTGACGGAGGAGGGGGGCGTTTCCCCCCCCCCCCCCCCCCCCCCCGTTTCTCCTCTCTCCCTCTCCTCGGGCCGGCGCCTGCGTCGGCGGCGGCTGGCGGCGGCGGCGGGGACGACGATTTCCTTTTCTGGGCCAGCGCCGGCGCCTGGCGCCGAGTGTTGGGGGGGGGCCCACCCCCTGGTTCGAAACGCGCCGCCGAATGTTCCCAAGGCAAGCGCCCCTGAAACGCGCTCTCTCTCTCTCTCTCAACAACGAACACGGAGTCGATCCTGCACCGACGAAAAACTCCACCTTACGTCGACGAAGCGTCGACTAAGCCATGAGAGAAGCGAAGCACACGAGGTACGTACTCAAATCCATACCCCCTCACCGTGGGCAGAAACATCATCCAACATGGGCTCTCTTGATCCGCTCTTGAATCTGTTGCGAGGCTATTGAGGGGAGCTCTTGGTGTACAGTGAGACCCTGTAGGACTTTTCTCGAGCGTATAAGATGGCTTTATCCTGCAGTATTGGAGCCATAACGTAGCGCCTGTCTGAGGCCCTTCAGAAGCCGAACAGACCAGGCACATACCTTGGCGAAGAACTAAACCCTTTGTAAGCGAGTGGCGGATCTTAGCAGGTGCGCTCGCTGCACGTGAACATACTGCGGGATCTGCAGTACCCCTGAATGCTTCGACAAGAAACGGACAACTACATTCAAAATCGTCCCATTCACGCAGGCACTCTCACTGGGGCCAGTAGTTTCCGATTGCTGTCCAGAAGTTTCGGGATGCTCGTCCTCCCCTCCCTCCACCGCTCGCCTCCCCATCCCTCCAGGGGTCGGTGTCCGATCGATCCGATTCGATACTGATCTGGGCCAGCCGGATCTGATTCGGTCTCGAAGTTCCGACGGTCCGATGCGGCCCGATGCTTGCATGGCGTTCCTGGGCATCCTGGCGCGGCCGATTCCATCCGGTTCGGGCTCCTTGGCGATGCGGCCAGATCCGACGCACACTCCGATTCGATCCGGCCTTTCGATTTGATGGTGACTGATCCTGCCCCACTCCCCCCTCCGTGATGGCTCGCAGCCCTTACCATTCTGTCGATTCGGTTCCGGAACCTGAACGTGGCCCACAGAAGGCCGATCGGCGCATTAGCGCCGCCGTCGTGAAGCTATCGTCGAGCTCTAGCTGATGGAATGGGCCTCGACCTTTCGGGGGGCGACGAAAACAGCAGAATGGTAAGGGAAGAGTCTGCTTGCCTCCCCCCTCCCCTCCCCTCCCTGGCACCCCCTGTGGCTGGCATGAGCCGACGGCAGCCCCCCGAAGCCAGGCCGACGCGAGCAAGGGCGAGGCGCGCGGCTGCGTCGGCGTCGGCGTCGGCGTCGTTTTCGTCTTCGTCGTCGTCGTCGTCGTCGTCGTCGGCGTCGTCGGCGTCGTCGTCGTCGTCGTCGTCGGCGTCGTCGGCGTCGTCGGCGTCGTCGGCGTCGTCGGCGTCGTCGGCGTTGTCGGCGTCGTGGTTTCTCCCCCCGCGCGCTTGTCTTCCCCGAGCCCCGCGGGTGCTGCTGTAAGAACACCTGGGCGCATGGCTCAGAGCACCGGTTGCGGGAAGGCCTGTCTTGGAGCAGTCTTGGGGGCCTCTGGGGCTCTTTTGGAGGCGCCTTGGGACTCTCTTGGGCCGTTTTGGGTCGCTCGTGGACAGCCATCCGGGGCTGTCTGGGGGCGATCTGGGAGGCCGTTTGGGCCGTCTTGGAGCGTCGGGAAGCGGGAGAGGCGAGAACGCCGGAATCATTCAAAAACTTATAGACAATTTGCGATGTTCGTTCTTGAGGCACTCTTAAGACTGCTCCTGGAGGCCTCTTTGCGCGTCTTGCAGCATTCTTGGGCCGTCCGGAGGCCGTCCAGGCGTCTTGGACAGATCGGTCAGCGATTCGGGGCCCTCGTGGACTGTCTTCGGGAGCTTTTGGGGCACTCTTGGCGTGTCTTGAAGCTTTTTTGCAGCCCGGGAGCCCCTGGAGGGGAATCGTATCTGACCCCGGACCCCCCCCGGGACCCCCTCCAGGACCCCCCCTAGGAGCCCCCGGGTCCGGACCCAGGACCCCCCCCCCCCATCCCGGCGGGGGAGGGATCAAACGGAAGGGGCTTCCCTTCGAGTGCATGACGACGTTGCTCAATTTCGCTTTGGCTGACGCGCTTGAGGAGGAGAACCCAGGAATGGCGAGAGGAGCGGCGACGGGCACAGGGAAAGGAAAACGCAGGGAAAGAGGACGACAGCGACGACGATGAACGAATGACGGCGCCGACGACTCGAACGGCAAAGCCCCGCACACACGCCGACAGGGTCGGCGGACTTGTCCATGGCGTCGACCCCCAGAGTTTTCGACCCATTCCCTGGGACCGGTTTCTCATCCTGAGTCGTTTTTTGACGGTCCCGATCCGAGGCGGGAATCTATACAGTCGGGGCCCTGCCGAAGGAACCCTTTGTCGTTGGGGAGGGGCTCCGTGTTCCTTACGTGTTTCACAGCTTGCCTCAGGTTTTCCTTATGTTTTCGATGGGAAATCGAAGTTTAACTTATGGGAGCAAGGGGCCTCGTTCCTTATTTTGGGTTCCTTAGGTCAACGCCCCGACTGTGCATGACCACCGCCTGGAGGGTCAGGTCTCGGAGCCTCGGCAGGCGGCGACTGTGGACATGTTCGGGCCCCCAGCGTTGGCGGCAGCGTGGGAGGCCCGCGACAACGAGCGAGTCAGGCTAGCCAGACGAGTCGGCTCGACCCACACCCCGGCGGCCGGCCAAGCCTTAGCGGTCGCAGTCGCGGGCCGCCGCATAGGTTAAGTCGGGCCTGTCCCCCTACTGGGGGATTCTCTACGAAAAATCAAAAATACCCCAAACATAGTCAAACAATAGTCCAAAAATAGTCTGGGGACTATTTTTTGACCTTTTGGAATATTTTTTGAATATTTTTTCGTCGAAAATCTCCCTGTAGGGGGACACGCCCGACTTAACGCATAGGACGTGCTACAAAATAAATGCAATTTTTTCGAGTCACTTGAGACTCCTTCAGGGAATTCCTCGCCGCACAAAGATATTCGGGCCCCCAGGGGCCGAGATATACCCATATCCGCCGCCCGCTGGGGTACCAGGACGTCGGTTCCCGGGCGGTGGATCTGGACAAACCCCCGCCTCGCACCCGGGGCCTGGTGAGGGCCCCCGGAGGCCGAGGATAAACGAAAAACCTTTCGTCACGATCTCGGCATCGCTCGGGCGTGTGCATTTTTTCCTTCGGCGAGGACCATCGTGGAGCATCCTTGATCATCTGGCGAAAAAGCCACGCAGAAAACAGCACAGGGAATGGACGTCCGAGCGATGGCCAGTGGTTTTTTCATGACCAGAGGGTGTCTGGGGACGGGGGAGGGCGATCAATGGGGGAGTTCCGTCATGATTCCCAACCATCCTGTGGTGTTGGGTCCTCGTTTTGAAGAGACGTCGCCCCGCGTTCCTTCCTTCCCGCTGCCCCCTCCCTCCTCCCATCTTCATCATCATCGTCATCATCCCCATCATCGTCATCGTCATCATCATCTGTCGTCATCATCATTATCACCACCCATGTCGGCACACCCCTCACACGTTTCGTGACCCCATAGGGAGCTCCACCGAAGGTCCCAGTGCGTGTGCCCGCATGCGTCCCGCACACTCATTTCGGCACACCCCTCACACGTTCGTGGCCCCATAGGGAGCTCCACCGAAGGTCCCAGTGGGTGTGCCCGCATGCGTCCCGCACACCCATTTCGGCACACCCCTCACACGTTTCGTGGCCCCATAGGGAGCTCCACCGAAGGTCCCAGTGGGTGTGCCCGCATGCGTCCCGCACACCCATTTCGGCACACCCCTCACACGTTTCGTGGCCCGCTCCACCGAAGGTCCCAGTGGGTGTGCCCGCATGCGTCCCGCACACCCATTTCGGCACACCCCTCATACGTTTCGTGGCCCCATAGGGGGCTCCACCGAAGGTCCCAGTGGGTGTGCCCGCATGCGTCCCGCACACACATTTCGGCACACCCCTCACACGCTTCGTGGCCCCATAGGGAGCTCCACCGAAGGTCCCAGTGGGTGTGCCCGCATGCGTCCCGCACACCCATTTTGGCACACCCTTCACACTATTCGTGGCCCCATAGGGAACTCCACCGAAGGTCCCAGTGGGTGTGCCCGCATGCGTCCCGCACACCCATTTCGGCACACCCCTCACACGTTTCGTGGCCCCATAGGGAGCTCCACCGAAGGTCTCCAGTGGGTGTGCCCGCATGCGTCCCGCACACCCATTTCGGCACACCCCTCACACGTTTCGTGGCCCCATAGGGAGCTCCACCGAAGGTCCCAGTGGGTGTGCCCGCATGCGTCCCGCACACCCATTTCGGCACCCTCACACGTCACATAGGTGGCCCCATAGGGGGCTCCACCGAAGGTCCCAGTGGGTGTGCCCGCATGCGTCCCGCACACACATGTCGTCCCACCCCTCACACGTTTCGTGGCCCCATAGGGAGCTCCACCGAAGGTCTCAGTGGGTGTGCCCGCATGCGTCCCGCACACCCATTCCGGCACATCCCTCACACGTTTCGTGGCCCCATAGGGAGCTCCACCGAAGGTCCCCGTGGCGCAGTCCACATGCGTCTCCTTTGCCCAGTACAGCGTTACGTGGCCCCATATGGAGCCCCACCGCAGGTCCCAGCCAGCCAGCTAGCTCTCTTTGCTCCGCGCAGCGGGCGACCCGCGCGCGTCGCTGGGACTCCTCCGGGGCGACCTGCGCGCGTCGCGGGGGCTCCGTGCTGCGTTCCGCCCAGCGCCTCGCTCGCCCGTCGTCGCTCTGCCCAGCGGCAAGAGCCTTGCCCGCTATCAGCCAGCCAGCTAGCTCTCTTCGCTCCGCGCAGTGGACGACCCGCGCGCGTCGCTGGGACCCCTCCGGGGTGACCTGCGCGCGTCGCGGGGGCTCCGCGCTGCGCTGCTCCCGCAGCCTTGGACTTTTGAGTGCGCGGGCAAAGAGGGAGTAAAGGAAGGGGAGGAAGCGGGCGCGATCCTCGCGGGGGGGCGCGCCGACATTGGCGTCGCGGCGCGCGGGCGATGCCGTCGGGGAGTCCCGGGGAAGCTCCTTGCGGCGGCCACGCCCAGCGTCACGAGTATTCAGAGGCAGTCGTTGTCAAACTATTGGCATTCATACACATTTGCACCACGCTTTGTCATATTCGCATTCATGCACGTAGACTCGCTCGCACGCAGATCATTCACAGTCAGACGCACGCGCGCAGATTCACCCGCGCTCAGTCTCCCTACGTACTCAGATCAATCGTTTTCGTTCACTTTGTGTACCACGCCACTCATGTCGGCACGCCCCTAGCACGGTTCGTTGCCTCATAGGGATCGCCACCGAAAAAATGAATCACTATTGCGGTACTCGCACCTGCATATGGTTGGGTCCCTCGTCAGGCTAATTTTTTCATGACCGGAGGGGGTCTGGGAATGGGGGAGGGCGATCAATGGGGGAGCTCCGTCATGATTTTTTCATGACCAGAGGGGTCTGGGAATGGGGGAGGGCGATCCATCGGGGAGCGAAGACAGGTGCACCTTTTGTGCCCGAAAGGCGCCACCTAGAGGGCCCACCCCTGGGGGCCGAACAGGGGCACGAGAGGTGCACGGTCCTCCCTCCCCCATTCATTTCTGGAAGGGAGGAAACACACATACACACTTGATCGTCGATCCCCAGGAAAATGTGGGGAAGTCTGGGAAGTGGGGGGGGAAGACGAAAATCAGAAAATATGAGAAAATATTGGGAATCGCGGGATTCGTGTCTATTTATTTGTGTGTCCCAGGGCCCATCCCCCCCTGAGGCAACGGAGCAATGTCCGCTCCCCGGCCAAAGGTGTCCCCCAGATGCCCCAGGAGTGAGCCACGCGCAGAAGGGGGGCAGGGGGAGGGGGGGGGAAGGCCTCCTGGCAGCGCCCCTATAGTTGTTTTTTTCCCAACCATCCTGTGGTGTTGGGTCCTCGTTTTGAAGAGACGGTGGTCCGCGTCTCCTCCTCCTCTCCTCCTCTCTCCTCTCCTCCGCCGTCCGCATGCGTCCCGCACACCCATTTCGGCACACCCCTCACACGTTTCGTGGCCCCATAGGGAGCTCCACCGAAGGCCCCAGTGCTGCCGTCCGCATGCGTCCCGCACACCCATTTCGGCACACCCCTCACACGTTTCGTGGCCCCATAGGGAGCTCCACCGAAGGCCCCATGGCTGCCGTCCGCATGCGTCCCGCACACCCATTTCGGCACACCCCTCACACGTTTCGTGGCCCCACAGGGAGCTCCACCGAAGG